AATCAGAGCAAGTGTTGGAGAAACCAGGTTAGTTTACACTTAATCCATCAATCATGCAAACAAAAGACATGAGAGCCATTTTTAAGATCAAATAAATCTAACTAGTATAACATTCGGCCCCCTCTCCCCCTGTGGCGGCGCCTGTGGCTCAGTGAGTAGGGGGCCAGCCCTATACACCAAGGGTGGTGGATTCAAACCTGGCCCTGGTCAAACTGCAACAAAAAAATAGCCAGGTGTTGTGGTGGGTGCCTGTAGTCCCAGCTGCTCAGGAGGCTGAGGCAAGAGAATCGCCTAAGCCCAGGAATTGAAGGTTGCTGTGAGCTGTGTGACTCCATGACACTATAATGAGGGTAATAAAGTGAGACCAAAAAAAAACCCCAAAAACATACCCCCCCCCAAAAAAACTAGGCTAGCTAGTAACTGCAAACTAAAATAGGAAGTTAATACTATCTCCTATTAAATTAGCAAAGATTTTGTAAAAGTGCAGCAAAACAGGCACCATAATATTTTTACACTGCTAACTGGCATTAGAAGCCATTCAACGCTCACTATAATTTACCTAATAGTTCTGTCTAAATATTGAGTCCTAAAGTAAGCCAAAATATGGAAAATTTGATATGCGTGATAGTGTTTATTGCTATATCATTTATAGAGAAACCAGTATAATTTGTATACTTTCGAAATATTATACAGCAATAAAAATGTTGGTTATGAAAACAATGAAGGTGGCTCAGTGCCTGTAGCTCCGTGTTTAGGGCTCCGGCCACATACCCTGAGGCAGGCAGGTTTGAACCCAGCTTAGGCATGCTAAACAATGACAACTGCAACAAAAAAACAGCCAGGTATTGTGGCGGGCACCTGTAGTCCCAGCTACTTGGGAGGCTGAGGCAGGAGAATCGCTTAAGCCCAAGGGTTTGAGGTTGCTGTGAGCTGTGAAGCCACAGCACTCTACAGAGAGTGACCTAGTAAAACTCTGTCTCAAAAAATAAATAAATAAAAAGGAAAGAAACTAACAAAGGAGAAGTGTGGGAAACACTTGTGATTCAATGCTAGCTTTAAAAAAAGCTAATATGCTAAACTGAACATATGATTGCAATGTGAAAAATTAATTTGTACAGGATAAGTGTTAGTGATTACATTAGGAAAGGATATAGTAAGTTTTTTAGCATCTCTAATTTCCCAATTTTTGAAATATGGACAGATTTCTTTGGAAAACAAAAATGCATCTTGACTAATTTACTACAAACTGCTTTGATAAAAATCAGATCATCCACCAACATTGAATATTCATTCATTCATTCCCCTTAGTAGCGCAGACTGCATAAGTCACTACTTCTAGAAGTGCTTTGTTACCTCAAAGTGAAGCTTGCTTTGGGGAGGTAGGGAAATTCTCCATAGTAACAATCTGTTTAATTCCTATCTTGTCCTTATTCCTTTCCATTTCCCCTTTAGAGCTGAGGAAAAAGTAAAATGGAGCAAGAGGAAAATCAGAGCCTTCGTCCCCAGCCAACGCATGTCCCCTGCAGGCCCCTGGACAGCCCTAGGAGCCTGTCCACAACAGGACCAAGATGGTACAAGAAAACCAGGCCTTGGCTCGGCACCTGTGGCTCAAGCGGCTAAGGCGCCAGACACATACACCTAAGGTGGCGGGTTCGAATCCCCAGCCCGGGC